CCTGCGCCCTTCAGCACAGCCCCCATCCCCGCTCGGGAGTGCTCATGTCCCTCTTGCCTTCACAGCCGTTGGTCTGTCCAGCTGCCCGGAGCCCCCTGTCCCTGGGAATGGGCTGAAGATTGGGGAGCGCTATTTAGTGAACGACGTCGTCTCTTTCCAGTGTGAACCAGGCTACGCGCTGCAGGTACTGCACATTCCCAGTGGAAAGGGATGACAGCGAACACCTGGACACGGGGAGACCCGCCAAACGCTGAGTCTTGTTTTCCTCTCCTCCAGGGCCACTCTCACATCTCCTGCATGCCAGGCACTGTCCGCCGCTGGAATTACCCACCACCGCTTTGCATCGGTAGGACTCTTGTTCTTTCATACCCAGCAGGTATTTATAGTGCTTTTCCTAGAAACAAAGGTAAAGGTCTGAGTTAGAGAAACGTACATTTGTTCTGGTGAAACCTTGCATTTGTTGCTGATGTCCACCGTGAAGGAAGGAAGCCCTTGGAGAAGAGGCACAGGGGTGAAGGGAACTTGCTGGGCTTTGTTTGATTCTTTTCAGTGTTTTGCTTTTAGCAAATCTAGATGTTTAATATTCATATTGCACATTTTACAGCTTTAAGAGAGACATTTATGCGTTTAATAGCTTTAGTTAACAGTTATTTCAGGCTCCTGCTGTTCTAGCTTACATCATTTTGCTTTAAAGTAATTATAAGAGCTAACAGTTCTTTTATCTGATGATCTGCAGGCCAGGAATAAATACAGAGACATTTAGAGCAGAATGACTGAGCTAAAGGACCCATACCCATGGGAGCTGCTCTGAAAGAAATCAGAAGCTCAGCATTAGAAGTGGGAGATCCCAGCTTGAAGGAGGATCCCCGTATTAGCTGATGACTGGCTGAGCAACTACACAATTCATGTTTTCTTCTTCTAATCAGTTCAGTAGGATTTTATGTGCTTGGGCTGTGCCTGCTTGGTACTGTCCCAGTGTGAACACCAGCACGGGTTAGTTCAGATGTCTTGTTCTGGATGGTGATGGCCAAGGGCAGTGGTACAAACGCCCATCCACCCGTCTGTTTGTACCCCTCAGCTTGCATCACACTTGACTTGAGAGAGGTCATCCAATGGTGGATGACCAACAAAGGGGTCAGCAAGAAACCTGGAGAGGGGCTTTGGACAAGGGCTTGTAGGAACAGGACAAGGGGAATGGCTTTAACCTGCCAGAGGGGAGACTGAGACGAGCTCTGAGGCAGAAGCTCTTCCCTGTGAGGGTGCTGAGGCGCTGGCACAGGGTGCCCAGAGAAGCTGTGGCTGCCCCATCCCTGGCAGTGTTCAAGGCCAGGTTGGACACAGGGGCTTGGAGCAACGTGCTCTAGTGGAAGAGGGGGTTGGGACTGGAGGAGCTTTTTAGGTCCCTTCCTACTTAAACCTGTCTGTGATTCTGTGAACTTCAGGGAGGAATAAACATGTCTCTGCAGCCAAGTGCAGACTGTCCTGATTGACCATTATCTTCTCTGGGCATGTGCAGCTCCCCGTGCTAATGGTTTGAGGCTCATTGTCCTGCCCTAATCGTGCACTGATGTGCCTAAACAGAGTCCAGAGCATGCTGGCTGCTGGCCACGTGGGAACCCCAGTGCTGGTTGTTCTCCTGCACAGAGGACAGCCTGCTTCCCTGGCAGTGTGTGTACACTGAGTTTCTTTTGGTCTGCTTCATCCAGATGCTTGACTTCTAAATAATTTAGATGTAGTTCTATTAAAGAGCCATTAAGAGGAAAAAGAAAGAGAAATCTTCTGGGAGAAACCTTGTTAGTAGCGAGTACACACATAATGAGGTATCAGACAAAGGGAATCTGCACCTTCCCTGTCAGAACGTGTTAGGAGTACACCTGGGTGTGTTTGGCTGGATGGCGTTACCATAACAAGGTAGAGGTCATCCAGATAAGCTGAGAAGATGCTGTTTGTGTTTAAATTTCATGTGAATCCTTCTGTAAACATATTTTGTGCTGTCATCTGTGGATTGCTTCTTGGTAGGGAATTTCAGTAGTGTGTAAACACTCCGTTCTGTATTTACCAGCAATTGCCCAGAGGTTGACAAGTATAGCAGTCAAGGTAGATTGGTTAACAAGCAGAAGAAGCAGCAGTAACTGGAGTCAAAGTAGGATCAGTCTGCTTCTTCACAGTTGTTTTTTTAGGTGGTTAGAAATTCAGACAAGTGCCGTGTGCGTGATGTGCACCGTGACAATGGCTGTGGGCAGAAAAGTGTCCATCTCTTCTCCTGCAGCTCACATCTCTCCCACTGTGATTGTCAAAACTGTATCTCTGGGCCCAGGCTTTCATCTCCAGAGGGCAGGAGAAAGGCACATGCATTAGTGATGTGGCCATGCGGTGCCTGGCAAGCTCTGTGCTCGTTCCATAGCAGGATTCCCTTTTTCTCTTCTTAGTTTTTAGTTGCTTTATTTCCCACACAGCTGGCTGGCCATGACCAGCATCCAGAGAGACCCCTGAGCCATCCTGACCACTACCACTGTTCATCTTACAGCCCAGTGTGGAGGAACGGCGGAAGAGATGGAAGGAGTGCTCCTGAGCCCCGGGTTCCCAGGAAATTATCCAAGCAACCTGGACTGCACATGGAGGATATTGCTGCCTGTGGGGTTTGGTGAGACATCTGGTTTGGGTTTGGTGCTCACACGAAAGAGATGATGGGAAGATAATGTCCCTGTTCAGTCTGTGCATGGTCAGTGCTGGAGGCCAAGATGAGTTACAGAAACTATTGTTTGACCTCCTCATCACACTTGCCATTAAAAATGCATGTATATGGTGCTGCAAAATGATCAATAAGGTGATTGCAGGTCACCATGGAGTGTAACAGGCTGTACATGCCACTGAACCGGCTGCAGCATCCTCCCTTAGTGTGCTTGTGTACATCCCTGTCTTAACTACTCACATTTGTAACAGCCTTAAAACACCACCTGTAGCATCACCCTTTGTAAATGTCTCAAGTGCCCAAAGCTTGTGTCGGGTTATATCCTACCTCAGCTAGAGTTCAGGAGGCACCAGCACGCTCCACATGAGGATCTCCCCAGCCTTTACTAAGAGAGAAATTTGCACGCCTCCAACTCAGCTCTTCTCCAAGGCAGCCCCATCAGGGTGCCTCATTGCCAGGGGGTGCGAGTATTGGGTGCCTGCAGGAAGTGCTGACTCCTGGGTTTTCCTGAATTAACTCTCCTCCTCCTGGTGTAGTTGTCGTGTGCTGCTGGGGACACAGAGCTGGGGCTGCCCTTCCATCGCAGCTGGCTGCGCTCTGTTTGGCGTGGGGTGATCCGTGTGGCTTTGTGCTTGCCTTCCTAATGTCTGGAGTGTCAGGCAGAGGGAGAGGTAGGCCCAAGAGCTCCAGCAGTGTGAGGCTGCAGGTGTTAATAGCTTCAGCTTGTATGAAGCGAGCAGGATGTGTGTACTACAGAGACCCTTTCCCTGCAGCATGGAAAATGCACTGTGCTGATGACCACTGGGCGTCAGCGGGTGAGGGGTGCTGCTATGCTGAGGCTTGGCTGTGTTTGGCAGCAGCCTGTTCACTCGTGTCCTCCAGGTGCTCACGTCCAGTTCCTGAACTTCTCCACGGAGCCGAACCACGACTTTGTTGAAATCCGCAACGGGCCGTACGACACCAGCAACGTCATCGGGCGCTTCAGCGGCACCGAGATCCCCGGCTCCCTCCTGTCCACGTCCCACGAGACCGCTGTCTACTTCCACAGCGACCACTCGCAGAACAAGCCGGGCTTCAAGCTGGAATACCAAGGTAAGGAGGCTGCAGGAGGAGCAGCAGTGGGACAACCCTGTTCCCAGGTGCTACCAGTGAGGGCATCAGCTGTAGGGTGGGTGTCACCGTTGTTGCTATTCTGTTGGATTAATTCCATGAGCACTCAGTCCAAATGAGTGGAAAGGTGTTACAGGAAGCAGTGCTCCATCCGGGATCTGTTCACCCAGATTTCTGCCTACGGCAGAAAACAAATGTTCCTGAAGTGCTTTGTGACAGTGAAATGCCTGTGAATTAATTCCAGCCAGATTCACTTAGCTCTCGGCTCTGTTGACTCTCTCGTGCAAAGAGAAGAGTCCTCGGCAGCCAGGAGTTTGCTCTGGACTTTGCTTTTCAGTCTCAGCTGAAGTCCAAAGGCATTCTTAGCTGCAGCCCAGCCCTGTGCTGAGGCAGTGGTCTTCTCTGTCCACCTATCCTTGGCATAGGGGAATATGAAGAGGTGAAGGATGCCAAGGGCAGGTCGTGTGCTTCAGACTGAATAGGGTGGGCTTTCCTGGGCAGCAGCTGGGAGCCAGGTGATCCAGCTACTGCCTGGGATTGAGATCCGAGGAGCGGGAGGGATGGAGCATGAGTCTCCAGCCATGTAATACAGCCAAGGACTGACAAAGGGCTGCCTCCCTCCCCAGAAACAGCAATAAAAGCTGCTACTCATACTTAATTGAAAACATTAATTTTGTCTTGGCTGTCCTGTTCCTGCACCACGTAATTCATGGGCTGCTGCACAAGTGAGGAAGGAATGTGCTCTGTGAGGCACTCTGGCAATCTCCTGGAAATTGCTATGTAAATTAGCTCTAGCAAGGCTGACCAGGAATTGGGAATGCCAGGTGGAACGCGTTAACTGACTGACTTGCATTCCTCATCAGGGTTGGCCATGTTGTCTGTAAACAAGGCAGGTTTCCCAAGTGGAAGTGAAGTGTGGGGTGACTGTGAGTACAGGCTCTCGGGCTCTGCAGCCCCCGTGCTCCTGCCTGAGGCTGCAGCAGAATTTTCTCTTGGCCTCCATGCAGATGTGTGCGTGGTTCATTCAAGTGGAGCTCCTGCAATTGAGTTGTTGGGTGAGGAGGAAGTAGCCAGGCAGCACATTGAGTGCATCACTCCTGCTTTTGGGAGAAAATGCAAAGGATGAAATGCTCCTCCTTATTTACAAGGGCCTGTAGGGACAGGCCAAGGGGAATGGCTTTAACCTGCCAGAGGGGGGACTGAGATGAGCTCTTGGGCAGAAGCTCTTCCCTGTGAGGGTGCTGAGGCGCTGGCACAGGGTGCCCAGAGGAGCTGTGGCTGCCCCATCCCTGGCAGTGTTCAAGGCCAGGTTGGACACAGGGGCTTGGGGCAACCTGCTCTAGTGGAAGGTGTCCCTGCCCGGGGCAGGGGTTGGAGCTGGAGGAGCTGTAATGTCCCTTCCAGCACAAACCTCTCTGGGATTCTGTGATTTTGGGCCTTTTTTTTCAGCCTACGAGCTGCAGGAGTGCCCTGACCCTGAACCTTTTGCTAATGGTGTTGTAAGAGGAGCCGGTTACAACGTTGGCCAGTCCATCTCTTTCGAGTGTCTGCCTGGCTACCAGCTGATCGGCCACCCGGTCCTGACCTGTCAGCACGGCACCAACAGGAACTGGGACCACCCGTTGCCCAGGTGTGAAGGTATGGCTTTGGGGTCACCCTGAGAGCACCCGGGGGGCACTTATGGGGAGAGGAAAAGCTTCAACACTCTGTAGTGGCCTCCTTTTGAACCATTGTTTTGTGCTTGGGCTGCAAGTTTCTCTGGAAGCAAAAGCATTGCTGGAGGCAGGCTGGGAACTCTTGGTGTGGGGAGATCGTGTCCTTACCCAGTCTCCTTAGTGTGGCAGTGGTGGCATCTCCACAGTTATCCAGATGGGAGTTCTGCAGTAGCCTTACATGGTGTCCTTTCTGAAGACCATGTACGTGCTGGGAGGACCCTGCGGGCTGAAGGAGTGGATCTACGTTGTAGGCATTGAAGCTCAAGTGTCCAGATTCTCTTTTCAAACCCCAACATGGCTGGTTTAGCCTTTCATCCTTTGGGCCAGTGGACTGAGTTTTGTGTGGTTTAGTTTCATATGAACCCTGAAGAAGTTCAAGGCTTCTTATTGAAGATTTTCCACCTGATTTCCCAGGAGCACTGATCTTTATCCCAGCCTTGGATATTCCAGCACTTGACCCGCAAGAACTGTGCACTGGGGAAAGAGAGGGAAGTGACGTTTTTCCTCTTTTAAGTCCTAAGTCTTTGAACCCCAGTGAATACAAAGCATGAAGAACTGAATCCTCAGCTGCTCCTCACTCACCCCAGCAATGCAAGAGAGATGTGTGTTCACTGAGAAGCTGCTGGTGGAGCTGGGCTAACAGGATCATGCTCCTGTCTCCCTCGGACATCAGCTCTGCCAGCTACAACCATCCAGTTCTTCTTTTTTGTGTTTTTTAATTAGCCTTCTTGCTCTGCAGCACTTGCATAGTAGAGAGGGGTAAGGGGCTAGGTGTATTTTGGACTATTTGCTGCTTTCCTCTGTGTGCACATCTGGTGGGCTGTTAGTGCTGTTCAAGGCAGCGCAGAACTTCCCTTTTCTAGCTCTTTCCTCAGATGATCCATTTTTACATAGCAGAAGCAGTGAGGACTCGCTGCCTTGGGCAAACCACCTCACCTTTCCCATGCAGGTCACAGCTGAAAGCCCTTTTAATTAAAAGAGAAGCTGTAATGCTGAAATAAATGCAGAGTCCAAGGTTTCCAGCACCACTCCAGGGAGGTTTCTGAGTGATCAGCAGGCTGCTGCTGCCCTGCAGGGCAGACAGGAACATGCCCCCCCAAGTTTCTTGGGTGTTTGTTTGAGAAAATGAGTGTAGGGAGTTACATAAATACACATCTCAGCTTGACAAACCACGTGAGCGAGCAGAGCAGAACCAGACGGGGAGTATGTGGAGCTTGGCTCTAACCTCACATCTGGCACATCTAGTCAGGGCCAGGGTGGCAGAAGCCTGTGGAGCTGTTCCTGCACAGAAAGGAGTGTGTGGTGCTCTGTGTTAGGATAGCGCTGAGCCTGAATTAATAAGTTGTGTGGGGAGGGAGGATGTGTGAGCTGAAGCCAAGGACTGGGTTAAAACAGCTACATGGCTTCTAGAATGATGCTGGCTCAGGCAGATGACACTGTCCACACTTAACCCTGTGCCTTCAGTTGTTGCAGGTTGCCAGTCACGCACTGCAGATGTAATCAGCATTTCAGCTGAACTTCCACACCAGGGAGGTCCAGAAGCTGATGTTTGTACATTGGACTTTCAGACCTAGGGACCTGCTGTGGCCCTC